ATATGTCTTCCATTCCCATGAACCGCTTGGGCGGTCGCGGTAAGCATCCCCGCCCGTTTCGCGTTTCTCCTACCCCTGAAGCTATGGCTTGAACCGCGACCGCCACAGGGAACGCGGGAAACAATCACCCGCCGATGCTTCCTGCGTATCGTACGAGTAATTCCCCCGTGCTGACAAGACCGATCGTTCAACAGCGTTTCACCACGCCGACAACGACGATGACGATGTGGAGCGCGAGTACGACCGCCTCCGCGACCTCGCCCGTGAGGAAGCCAACAAGCGTAACCAGTGTTTTGAGCGCGTCCGTTAACCCCCACGCCCTTCGACGATCACCCCAACGTCGTGTCTGACTCTTTCTGCAACACACAGTCTCAGCAGGCCTACCAGTCTGGCGATGGCGCCGCCGCCAAAGAGCTCTCGAACGAGGGCAAGCGCCACGCCCAGAAGATGGAGGACTACAACCGCCAGGCGTCCGAGTACATCTTCCGCGAGAACAACGCCGCCGGCCGCGTGACGGGCAGCTGCATCGACTTGCACGGCCAGTTCGTCGAGGAGGCGGAGCGCATGCTTGAACAGCGCATCCGCGCCGACCGCGACCGGGGCCAGGAGCACCTGCACGCCATCGTCGGCAAGGGCAACCACTCGACGGGACATGTGCAGAAGCTCAAGCCGCGCATCGAGGCGCTGTGCCGGGAGCTCGGGCTGAAGTACTCGACGGAGGAGAATGCGGGTAGAATCTACATCAACCTCCAGGGCAATGACGCGACGATGCCGCCGCCGCCGCAGGTTGGTGGTGGTCAGCAGCACCACGGAGGCGGGCAGCAGCAGCACCACGGTGGTGGCCAACAGCAACACGGAGGCAAACCCCACGGAGGCAAGCCCCACGGCGGCCAGCAACAGCATCACGGCGGCCAACAGCAACAGGACCAGGAAGACGACATCGTCGTCAAGATCCTCAAGAAGCTGGAGAAGGCTTGCTGTGTGGTCATGTAAAGTGCTTACTCTGTCTCGGGTTGTTCCGCGTGTTCTTGTCTGCTTTGGCCTTGGCGACTGCTGCTGCCGCTACTTGGATGACGGACCCATGTGTTGGATGTGTAAATGGTAATGTTTTGTATCTGATGATATGATACCCTAACGAGAACGTCACTGGACCACGTCGAAAGGGGCCTCGGGTATGGGCCAGCGAGTGTGCCCCTTTGCGCCTTTGTACATGTCCTTCATCTTGCGAATATATAAAAACGATTTTTTCCCCGTGCCTTCTCTCTGCCCGTGTTGTGTTTGGTGGTAAGCGGACGCATGGTGATTGGTACTCCTTCTGCTGGGGAGGCAGGAAGGCCTGCATTCACCTTTAAGAGGGCCGCTTCTGCGGCGAGTTGTCGGGGCATCTTGCCTGAGAGTGTGCGCGCACTCCGTCCGACCTTCGTGGTCAAGCGGTTCATCTTGAACATAAAAAAAAAAGGAACTCCACGAGTTCGAGTTGGCCATATTGGCTGTAAAAACCATCGGTTTTTCGTAGGACTCTCACGAGTCTGAGCTTTTTTGTCTATTTTTTCTTTTCCCGTTCCTGCTTTTCTAATCATCTATATGAGAATAGAAATCAAACCGTTTTCTTTCCTTAGCTCTTTTTTTCCCCTTTTCTTTTATGTAGTGTGAGATGGCTGAGGGCGAGCTTTCGTTTGTATCGCGCAAACCCAGTTAGTCACATTTTCATGTGTACGTACGTATTAGGCAGTGACGACTCAACTTCTAGCAGGTCCTCAGTGCGAACTTCCGCAAGCTTCAGAGCGAGTTAGGCAAGGCACTTGGTTGTTCTAATGCGTTATAACAAACAACAAACAGTCTTTGCCTTATCATAAATAAAGTAAGCAATGGTCGAGCTATACCGTTGCATCTTGCAAGGCCTGCATATGTGTTGGTCTTCTGAAATGCAAAAGGGCAAGACCACGCACATGCTTCATCCCACGTTCAAATCAATCAGAACATACTTAACAGCTTCTCTGCATAGGAAGAAAGGTGCTGGCTACATAGGACGTAACATCGTCTCGAGTTGTGACGGGCTACAGAAGGGCGGGGGGGGGGGACAAGAAAAGAATCATGCAAAAAAAGCTCGGGTCCAATGCTGACAACACTACGAAAAACCAACGGTTTCTACAGATGGTATAAGTGGCCAAAGGGTAACTCCCTGGGACATTATGGTTGATGGGGACACGTATGCCCTACACATGCCGAAACATCAGTTAGGAATGGACTGTCGAGTGGTCTTGGAGCATGAGTCTTGTTTAACGGATCTCAGATATGTCGCTATCCTATGTTCTCATCGACCCAACTTATGGAGCGTTCTCCCATACATCCCCGCCACCCTCTGCTTCGGTCATCTCCTTCCACCTTTGCGCAAACTCCCTCAAACCGCCCTCGCCTGCCATGCTGGCGTCAACAACCTCCTTGGGCAGCTTATGCGCCGAGTACTGTGGCGTACTGAAGTTGAAGGCCGCGGGGTTATCCTTCTCCACAATCCTCAGCTCAGGGACGACCTCATCCGCGTCCTCGTCGTCCGTAGTCTCCTCCTCCGCCGCGCTACCCTCGCTCCAGTCGCCCCTATTCCCGGACATTGGAATCCTCACCTCGAAAGCATCCTCATTCACCACCGACCCCAATATCGGCTTCGGTACCTTGAACTCGAGCAGCTCACCCCACGTGAAAAGCAGGCTGTCCGTCCGCGGCGCCCACGGGTTGATGTCGATCAGCCGCACCTTGCCTAGCTCATCGTACGAATCGCTGTCGCCCGGCACGTACACGTCAAATACAAAGGAGCCGTCTGGGAATGTGAAACGCAGCCGGTCCTCGAAGAAGTCCTCAATCTTGGACACCAGGGCGGAGCGCAGGCCGTCGAGGAAGGGGTAGTGATTCCAGTCGCGCTGGCAGAGGCCGATGAGCGCGCGGTGCTTGACGAAGCAGCGGAACTCCAGGGCCGGGTTTGGCGCGAAGAAGGGGCGGAGGACGAGGACGGGCTGGAAGGGGCGGTTCGCGGAGGAGGCAACGGTGTCGTCGAAGGCGTGCTCAAGGTCGTGGCTCACGAAGCTCGAGCTCTTGAGCAGGAGGTAGATGTCGTTGGGCGTGGTGCACTTGAGCGTGTTCTGGTGCGGCGAGATCCAGGCCGCGTCCTTGGGGGCGGACCAGTTCAGCTTGGGGGCCACGGAGCCGCCGAGCTCCTTGATGCGGTCCTTGATCTCCTGGTGAATCTCCGGAAAGCGCTCGTTTGGCGGGCGCGAGTCTGCCTCTGGCTCCGAGTCGGAGTCGGAGTCCTCGTCGAGATGCTGATTTCTCCGAGGGGCGCCGGATGTGTTCGATGAAGGCGCCCATTCTTCCTCTTCCTCATTTGAGTCTGGCTGGGCGGCGTCATCGTCGGCGAGAATGATGCCGTCGTCACGGATGTACTGTACAAAGTCTGGGGAGAGCTTGATGATGCGGGAGCGAATTGAGACGGTGCGATATTTGGGAAACCAGGCGTCGTAGGCACAGTTGAGGATGTGTTCCTTGGTGACTGGGGGAAAGGTGAGCTCTTCGGCTTCCTGGGTTGCGTTGGTAATCGCGTCCAGGGTCGGTTGCCCCTCTGTGAGACCTTCGAGGGACGGCATTCTCAATAACTTTGTGTGGTTGCAAAGATTGGTTTTCGTGTATGACGTTTCCGGAGATTTTGGGACTGTTTTATGTGAAAACCACCAGTCAGATCTACCTCTAGTTAGATAACAGCATTGAAGGTGCTCGGATTTTCACTTACATCGATGAGTCTTAATCGTTTAGTGAGTCTTCCCGTCGCCCAAAGCAGAAAGTACCCCACCATCCCACCATCACATCTTTTTTCTGCCGCCACGGCCCCGCCGCCTCTGTTATCCCCATTCACCGCCTTCGGGTACTGCAGCTCCCAACTGAACTTTCGTACCGCCAAGGGTCCAGAGGTTGTAGTGACGTCTCTCCTCTCAGCCCACAGCTCCAACAGCGCGTACTCCGTACAGAGAGACGCCCAACCTTGATTTTCTCCGACACCATCGATCGACATAAACATCTAGCGAAACGTGCAGTTATTCCCACGATACCCATATTATCACAACCAGATATTCGCCGCCTTTAGTCTCTTTACACCATACACACACGCGATGTCTGATAACGTCGGCCTCTCCACGCCTCGCGGCAGCGGCACTTCTGGCTACGTCCAGCGCAACCTTGCGCACATGCGCCCGCGCGACTATGGCGCGCCGTACCCTCCGAAAGACGCCGATTCGCTCCGTCACAAGCAACGGCAGCCCGATAAGGAGATTCTCGAGCACGATCGTAAGCGCGAGGTCGAGGTTAAGGTCCTAGACCTCCGAGATACCCTCGAGGACGAAGGGTAAGCTTATCTTTCCCCTCTCTTTAACTTGCGCAGATGTAGCTAACCACTTTGTGTGACTCCAGTCTTGAGGAAGAAGAAATTGAGACCCGATGCGACGAGCTGCGCCAGAAGCTCCTTGCCGATCTCGAGAAGCAGAAGAACTCACGCGGCGGCGGTCCGGTGCGGAAGCACTTCAAAAGTCACCAAGTACACGAGATGGCGGACGCCAAAATCAAGGAGAGCGAGAGGCTTAGGAGCGCGCTGAGGATAAGCAAGGACTATGAGGAGGGAAGCCATTGGAGGAGGCAGGAGGAGAGGCTGAGGAACGCCGTCGACAGGGACACGAAGAAGGAAGAGGCTGATTAAGTGTCGGCGCTCTCTCACTAGGTCTGTCAAGTCCGGCGCGGCGCGTGGGTTCGGGTCGTGGGTCAATATGGGATGGCGTTTTTGGCGTTTGGAATATCAGCGGAGATGAGACGTGCAAACCGAGATCACCTTAACCTCGTTTGGCTTGAAGCGTCTCGACAGAGAAATTTGGCTGTGGGACGGTTGCATATCGAATTATTGATACATGTGCGGAGATGGGCCCGTCTTTTAGTAATACAGATGCATCGCCGTCGTTTATGCCATTCTATTTCTTCCCCGCCGGCGGCACCCACGCCTGTGGCTGCCACGCCTCTCCGGGACCCTTGGCTTGCTCCCATGGATCGTGTCCGTATTTCTTCTTCGCTGCGCTGGTTTTCGGCGTTGATTGCGTTGGGATCGACTCGGTCGACTCGGTCGTCGTCGCATTTACCGATTCCAGTTCCGGCGCAATCGGTTGACGTTGTGCCGTATTCAAGGCTGGCAACGGTTGGCCTGTTGCCTGCCCTGGAGCGTCCATTACCCTGGGCTTTGCCTCCCACCGCGCGTCTGCCTGCGCCGCCAGCAGCTTCATCCTCTCCTGCCTAACGACCTCGCTCGACTGTTCTTCGAGCGAAGGCGGGTGCTCACGTGTGTGTCTTAGCCATTGGTGCCATAACGGGGACACCTTCACATCGGACAGGTATGTCGATCGGGGGTAGTGGACGATGCGGCGGAAGCGGCCGGGTCCGTCGCCTCGTTGTTCGCGGAACTCCCAGTACGTGTAGCCCTGCAGGTCACGGCCTGGAACCGAGCGTGTTAGTATGGAAGGTTGCCAAGGAAGCGGTGCCTCTTATAGAAGAACCATGGTTGAGGTGAGGGGACGGACCGATGAGGAAGCGCTTGCGCCATGGTAGTCTGAGCGACTTCCACTTATACCAGGCCTCCAGTATTGGCGAGATCCGTGTTGAAGACATTTGGGCGTTATTCTGCGAGGTTGGGGGAGACAAAATCAGAAAGTTCGTCGCTCAGGATCCCATGGCTTCAATATCTCGAAGTTGCTGGGTGTTTGGGAAAAGTAATGAGGTCAAGCTCAAATAATTTGCACCGCCACAGGGAAGTTCGGCCGAGTCTCTATTGGCTGAACCATGATTGGGCCGCCATATCCTCAGCCACGTATTTTTTGTGTTTCTGCAACGAGCCAACAGCAGTTGCCCAATGCGCTTCAGAGTTACATTGACCCCACCAGCCACCACCGCACACGTCACTCCGCAAGGCCGCGGCGGGCACGTCGGACCCCAGGCGCTGTCACCTTTATCCAGGTTCCCGCCTGGCTGAAGAGATGCATAAACAATTAAATCTTCCCCACCAACAAGGCACAAGTGCGGTCTTCGTCGGGCCTTTCAGTGTTTCCCAATCATTCTTCCCCTGCCACCCGACATATTGATTGTTCACCTCTCCCCGCAAGTCATTTTGATCGCCCTTTCGTCTGCCCTCCTCTTCCTCTCCTCAATCCCTTTAATCCCGAAGACTGCATCGAGCTGCGTCTATAAAACACCCTGAGACAAACTCGCGCCCGCGCGCGGAGCAGAGGATTCCAGCATCTTGTACCAGCTCCGTCATCCCCGGAGCCCCGCCGACGTCAGCGCCTAACCGCCGCGTCACTGAACGCACCTACGAACCCGAGTGCGAAGCGCTTAAAGCATTAAACAACGAATCGACCCTGTCTACCAACATCCCGTCCTCACGACCTGCGAATATAACGAAACAGTATGGCTTCAGTAACGTCATTAGACAAGGATTTGCGCAAGTTGCGCTTAGAGAGGTACACGCCCGCCGCGGCGAAGGAGGTCAGCTCTTGGATTGAGAGCGTTCTCGGCGAGAGACTACCTAGCGGAGACTTGCTCGAGAGCCTCAAGGATGGCGTGGCGTTGTGCAAGTAGGTCAAAATGATGCTTTTTCCAGCGGTGCACCCAACTGACATGTGACTCTCAGACTCATCAACCTTGCGGTGCCTCCGCCCGGGGTCAAATTCAAGAAGTCCGCGATGCCCTTCGTCCAGATGGAGAACATCTCACACTTCCTCCGCGCTTGCAAGCAACCGCCTCTGAACCTCCAAGAGCACGATGTATTCCTTACAGTCGACTTGTACGAACAAAAAGACCCGGCCCAAGTACTGCAATGCCTCGGAGCATTCAGCCGAGCTGCCCACACCGCGAACCCAGCCAGATTCCCGACACCGATTGGCGGCAAGACCCGAGGTGTGATGAGCCCTCAGGGTACCGGACGTGGAACGCCTTCGCCTACCCGATCTCGCGGACTGTCCAATGCCTCCGGATTCGGCTCCCCTCGACCCAATCTGACAAGCTCCAAGACCGGTGACTCGGGATCCGGTCGATGGAGCCCGACAAAGCCGACATCTCCGACTACCAGCTGGAGCAAGAAGGAGCATGAGGGCGCCACATCTCCGGCCTGGAATATTGCTCAGTACGGCTACATGGGAGGCGCTAGTCAGGGCAACCTCGGAATCTCGTTTGGAAGCCGGAGACAGATCACTAGTGCTGGTCCCAACGTACCCAGCCTGGCAGAGAGGGAGAAGAAGCGTAAGGAGAAGGAGGCCGAGGAGGAACGCCAACGCCAGCAAATGGAAGACCTCAGGCGCCAGAAGCTGGAAGACGAGGAACGACAGGCACGCGAGCAAGAGGAGAGGGAGATCCAACGCCTCGTGGAAGAAAAGCAACGACGAGCGGACGAGGAGAGAAGACAATGGGAGGAGGAGGAGCGCATGTGGAAGCTCACGGAAGAAAAGCGACGCAAGGAAGAAGAGGAGGCCGAGCAACGCCTGGTCGAAGAGCGCACCCGCACTAGAAGCCGCAGTGATGCTAGACTCCGAGGGCAATTCCTGAGTCAGTATCAGGCCGAGCAGAAGGTTCAGCCGCAAAAGACTGGCGCAGATAGAATCGCCGAGCTGGAGGCTGAGCTTGAGAAGGCCAGAGAACGTGAGAGGCAGTACGAGCTTGAGCGTCAGGGGCGAACAGGCAGGACGTTGGCTGTCACCAACGATCCCAAGGCGCGGCTGAGGTCTAGGAGCCGGCCGTCCGACGGAACACCTAGCCGACAAGATTCCTGGTCTAAGAACGAACGTGAGGTTCTTCAGACATCATGGACGCAGCATCAGGAATCCCTTCAGGATGACGAGCCTCCGGCCCCACCTCCGAGATCGCCCAGACCCCTGCCTGACCCCAGAGCCGTGGCATCCCCGCCGCCGCAGAAGGTCGTGGCCCACACCACCGGCGGCCGACCTCTTCCGGACCCCGCCGCCTACAAGGCCGCGCAGCAACCTCCGCCAAGCCGAACTGACAGGTTCCTCGCTAACAACGCGGCACCCGTTCAGCCCCCTGCGAGGCAGACCTACTCCCGCGAGTTGAGCGCCACCGCTGAGCAGGATGCTGAGGACCGCAGACGCGCACAGAGCCAGACCAACACTAAGGCTGGCGGCTGGGCATCTAAGTCACTCCTTGAGCGCGAGATGGAGATGGAGCGCCAGCGTCAGCGTGAGTGGGAGGAGGCACAGCAGGAGACTGCCAAGGCCGTGCCGACCGGCAATGGCGTTGACGGCATTGGTGGTGGCATCGGTGGCCGCTGGGACGTGAGCCAGTGGGCTGGATATACCGGCGGCGACAACCAGAACAAGGGTAGCCAGGGAATTGGAGCTGGAAGAAGACAGATTGTCGGACCGAGACAGATTGCCGGACCTAGGCCGCTGCCTAACGTGCCGCGATAGTCCTACAGTAGACCTAAAGATTGACCTTGTTTGTTTAGAGCGCAATGGGCAGGCTTAGTTTGCGAAGATCCCCCGTGTCGTCTGCTCCGTCTAGATTGTAGATGACTGAGCACTTTGAAATAGGTAGATATCACTTATTAATGAGCGAAAATCAGACCGATTGCTGAGATATATCTGTTGCCTTGTGATAACCCTGTCATCCTCCTACAGTACGTCTTAATCTGTTTCAAGGCACATCAAGTTGGAAACGACGATGGATTATTAGGATATTCTAGGTATTCTGTCCGTCTTTGTATATCGAGACTCCCTGCAATGGCTCTGAGGAGGGTGCTGGCTTTAACGATGCTCGAGCTAATAACACAAAAGAGAGTGAACTCTTTCACCTCAGCTCCTGATTTCATCTGACTGGACTCTCATCACAGCCTTCCAGTAAACCACTTTCTTATCAGAAACGGCACGTGGGTAGTGTAGTCTGTTTGGGTGGGTCTCAAATACTAACTCCTCTAGAAGGAAGACCGCGCCGTGGCACCTTCCCTCAACTCACCAGCTTTCAGGGGCAGGAGCACCTTCACTCATCCCAACCATTCGCTCCTTCTCTTAAAAGATTTTGTCTTCTACTGCTGTCATTCACTAGCTCCTCGCTTAGCCCAGGCTGCTAGACCTTATCCCTCCGAAGATAAAAGCACCTCTCACCTGCTGCTCACTCTTCAAACCCTTTTCACCACAACCACTCTACCTTTCACAAACACCTTATCGATTCACACAAGATTCATCAATACCTTCACTCACAAACATCAATACCTTCCCATTCAATCACTTCCACTCACAACACAACAATGCGGATCCAGATGAACCCTGTCATCGCCGCCATCATTCTGGCCTTCGACAACACTGGTGGTGTTCACGCCGCCCCCTACAATCTGTCGGCTCAGGACGGTGCTGTCTGCAACGGCATCAATCTTGCCAACCACACTCGATGCGAGCCCTTCCTCTCAGCTAACGGCACCACTGTCCCCATCATCATCAACGACGCTCTTGGCTCCAAGCCTCCCATCACCTCAGACACTGCCAAGCACACCATCTACGTCAACCAGGAGAACAGCACCACCCATTGCTTGATTGACGAGGCCCAGAAGCCCCTGGCTGGCAACCCCTGGGACCTCCCCAAGCTTGCAGACGCCAACGATTGCATGGTCATCCACGACTGGGCTGGATCCAAGCCTGGCTACTTCGCCATCCCTAAGACTGTCCTTGATGCCAGCCGCAACGTCTTCCTCGCCAAGTCTGGCACTTGTGCTATTGGTCTCTACCCTAAGACCTACAACAACAGCGACATGTCTGTTGGCAGTGTCGATCTGGCCAAGGCCATCAACCTTGCCATCAAGTATGAGTTCGATGGGGCTGGACATGTCGAGGCTATCGATTACGCTCAGTGCGACGTCACCAACGACAAGCAGAACAAGAAGGACTACATCCTTTGGTATCTCTCCCCACCCGAGAAGAAGTGGTAACGGCCGTATGGATAGATGGCTTCACAAAGGATACGACTTTCATGGCTTAGGACTGCGCATGGCTTTCAGGGAGGACTTCGTTTTATCACAGGACTTGGTTTTTTAGAAGGGCATGGTTTTGACATGAAGGAGGGAAATCGTTCTGGAGTTTGGGCATAGATAGACTGGCACATCACTCGCACGTCTTTGGCAACACCAGAGCTGGTAGATCAACATCGCAACGAAAATCACAAGCTTCACCACACATATTGCTTTGCTTTACCCGCTAAAATCATGATCATTTCTGCTTCTGAAGTTTACTGCCACCAGCAGTTACTTTTTCTTTTTGCCTTTGTAAATGTGTGCCCTCCCTTCACCTTCATCCGGGGTCACACAAGAGAGGCAGGGGCGACTTATCTTTGACGAAATTTCCTCCTTCCTTCCCAAAGCTACTTTGCTGAACGGTCTTCTTCACCCCAGCTAAGCGAGGGATAAGAATTCACCTTCACCAGGACCGCTCGTTTCCCAAAGGGACCCTTCCTTTTCCCCTGCCTCTCTTCCCACACAACAGGCCAAACTTCACAAAAGGCTTTTCCCCTTCTTCCATCAGAGAAAACACAAGGAGCTGAAAATCCGTCCTCATCACCGCTCTCTTCCCTCATCAATACCTGAAAGATGGCAGCCATGTCCCGCCTCCTGGGTG